TAAGTCTTTTGCGACGTTTTGAAAAGCAACATCAAAGGGGAAGCCAGATTCACTTAACAACGGTGTTACTAACTTAGCTGCAGTGATTCACTTAACAACTGTGGCAAGATGGTCGTAAAATGGGGTTTTCACAAGTGTCTTGCCCAGCAATGGAAATTTAGGCTGGATTATGGTCGTACGTTGAGCACTGCCTCTACTCAAGAGAAATAAATCTAATTCCAAATGATTAACGATGATATCTAAACAGAAAAGTCCACACTGTCCACAATCGGTTTCTCAACTCTGCCCCCTGGGGCAGGATTCTGGCACAGTTCATCTAAGCCAGGGGTAGGCAACCTTGGATCTTTTATGACTGGTGGACTTCAACTCCCAGAATTCCTGAGCCAGCCATGCTGAGGGGAAAGGGAGAGGTTTCCATGCTGAGCCATGCTAGCTCAGGAATTCTGGGAGTTGAAGTCCACGAGTCATGAAGGGGCCATAGTTCCCCCATGCTGGCTCAGGAATTCTGGGAGTTGAAGTCCACGAGTCATGAAGGGGCCATAGTTCCCCCATGCTGGCTCAGGAATTCTGGGAGTTGAAGTCCACGAGTCATAAAAGAGCCAAGGTTGCCTACCCCTAGTCTAGGTTTATGCTAACCACACAGCCCAGCTCCCTCTAGGACAGGGGTAGGCAACTTTGGCCCCTTCATGACTCCTGGACTTCAACTCCCAGAATTCCTGAGCCAGCCATGCTGAGGGGAAAGGGAGAGGTTTCCATGCTGAGCTATCCTGGCTCAGGAATTCTGGGAGTTGAAGTCCACGAGTCATAAAAGAGCCAAGGTTGCCTACCCCTGGCCTAGGAGGCTTACCACTTAGAACAGGAGGACTTAGGACAGGGCTAGGCAACCTTGGCTCTTTTATAACTTGTGGACTTCAACTCCCAGAATTCCTGAGCCAGCATGGGGGAACTATGGCCCCCTCATGACTCGTGAACTTCAACTCCCAGAATTCCTGAGCCAGCATATCTCAGCATAGAAAACCTCTCCCTTTCCCCTCAGCATGGCTGGCTCAGGAATTCTGGGAGTTGAAGTCCACGAGTGATAAAAGAGCCAAAGTTGCCTACCCCTGGTATAGGGTTTCCTGCCTGAGCAGGGGGTTGGACTAGAAGACCTCCAAGGTCCCTTCCAACTCTGTTATTCTATTCTATTCATTGTCACACTGCAGATCAACCATGTTTACACACCAGAGGAAAGAGACAATAAGAGGCTAAGAAGGAAGCAACCCACACCCTAGCAACCCACACTAAGCAGGAAATAACACCAGACTATCAAGCAGGAACCCATAGCCTAATCAAGGAACCACAGAGGAGGAAAACCGGAACCACATCAACACTGGCAGAACAAGCTACAGTTAATCCTTGGCTTAGGTCAGTAATGGAGCCTGCCCGTCGCAGCTGTAAGTTTCAACTGTCATCAAGGAGGTCTTTTATGACCTGATTTTACAACCTTTTTTGTAGTGGTCATGAAGGGAAGCCATTGTTTGCTACCGGGTGGTTTTGCCAAACACAAGGAAATTCCAATTTTCGGCAAAAATATAAATCTGTCATGTGATTGAGCAAGCCAATTGCTGAGCGCCTGAAATGCGGTCACATTCATTGTCAGAACTTCAGAACCAGGTCATAGGTACCTATTGGGGAGAACCCATTGTAACTTGGAATGGTCACTAAAGTGACCAGCCGTAAGTCAAAGACTATCTGTTCTGTACATAAACAGGGAGCAAACTCCACATTTGCACTGTTGATGTTACCTAGTTCCACAATGAAATATCTCCAGTCAAGCTCAGAGCACCAAGGACAATATTAACAGCAAGTTAATACTAAAACAAAAAACCATCATCCCAACACAACTGATTGCAACATTTATAAAGCACATTCAGAAGTTCTCTGAATGTGGGCACTGGTGTTTCCATCCTCCCTTCCTCAGCCTCAGAAATATCAGCCTAGAAAGGTGATCCAGGAGGATCAGCTATGGAAAATAGGAGGATGTTAGTGTATCGGGAGTCTTTTAACCAGAACTCAAGAGGCAGCAATTCCAGGATCCAATCTGGGTCGGTCACCAGGATCCGGGGTTTTGTCCTCCGAGCTTTTGGAGTTGTGCTGCAGCCCATCCTCAAGGAACTTTCCTCACAATCTTCTCACACACACATTCTGGCAAGAGGATGGGCTCCAGGATGTGTCTGAAAGCTTGGAAGACGAAACCTCTGGTTCCGGTGATGTTGGATCCTACAACATTATCCTGCAGTGGTGTCCCAAAGGTGTGATTCCAGGAGGCAACTGGACTTTCTTGTTTTTCTTTGAAGACGTTTCGCTTCTCATGCAAGAAGCTTCTTCAGCTCAGACTGGAGGGTGGGGAATGGAAGAATTTATACTTCTTGCAGACGGTTGGTCATTTGCTTCTTTTTAGAGAGAGCCGTTGAGGCCATGTGGAGATTTACTTGTGTCTTCAGGGTCACCTGAATAGTGCAAATGGGTATGGAGTCTTCTTGGAACTGCCGAAAGGACTGGAGATAGATGATGTCGTATCTTTCCCCCTCTGTTGAGAGAGGGCTGTTCAATTTGGACATCAATGGCCTCTTTGACCCCTCTTTCAAACCAGCAGTCCTCTCTGTCCAAAATGTGGACCTTGCTGTCTTCTAAAGAGTGGCCTTTGTCTTTTAAATGCAGCTGGACAGCTGAATCCTGTCCTGATGGGTTTATTCTCCTATGTTGTGCCATGCTTTTAGGAAGTTGTTCTGTGTCCTGAATCAAGATGCTTTTATAATTCAAGCACACAGACAGATGACTCAAACAAAGATGATTATAAAACAGACATTTAATCCAGCAATACTGCTGAACTCACGTTTCTTGGTAGTTTCATCTGAATATTGTACATCTGTCTATCTTTATTAGGTAAGAAATCAATAATTCCTCCCTATCAACTTCTAACGTGGAATGGGACCCTATATATCCTCTGATGGTCCCATGCTTATCCCAGACAAAGAACATTCCAAACTGGCACATAGTCAGGATATCCTGTGATAAACTTAGTGGCTCCTCCTACTGACCTGCTAACATGAATATTAACTGAATAGCTAAACTATATTACCCATAAGCCATCTCTTAAGGAGACAGCGCTTAACCCAATAAATGCCAAACATTCTAACATATAGACCCATGATCCAGAACACTTCAGTTGCCAAGAAAGTCCAGTTGCCTCGTGAAAAAGCATCTTTGGGACAACCATGACCTGGATGACTGAGAATCTCCATAGACATTATCCTGGGACACGTATATTCGCCTTCCTTCGAGAGCAATTCCACCTTTCGGTCGGCCGGCTGTCCTACCAACCTTTCATACAGGTGCAGGTCTTTCAGCAAATCTTCCCGCAGACGGGGGCAATCCAGTGCATCAGGCTCAAAAGCAGAGATGAGATATACAAAGGGATCCACCAGAGGGAAGGTCCCCAGGGATTCAGTACAGGCCTCCCGCAGGGCCTGGAGGACTTCCGACTGATTGTAACGCTGCCCCATCAGCCGCTTGAGAGTGTGAAGTTCCAGATCAGCCTTGGACCGGGCAAAGTACACTTTTTTGCCTGCCTGCCGGGCCTCCAGCACCAGGCGGGCGTGAGAATCCTCAAACCTGTCTTCAGTTACCAATACAATCAGGTCGGCCTCTCTCATCCATTGATCCGCATGTCCCTTGCCATCCATCGAGCGCTCCCACAGAAGTAAATTACTGTAAATTGGGTCAGGGTACATGATGGGCTTTTCAGATTTCACCGGAGACCCCACGGGGGCTGATCCCACATCATCTTCGGTCATCCCCCGTACGGCATTCAGAAGAGCTGATTTTCCGACTCCAGATTTTCCCACAAAGATGACAGAAACGTCCCCACAATCGGGGGAACCCGGAGCAGAGGTCTCTAAGGACATGTTCGGTGTTGACGAAGAAATTATCTTTTCTTCTGAGCAGCCTGTAAACCCTTCAAGAAGGAAAGACAAAGGTCAGAAGGGAAGAAATGTCTTTTTTTTAGGCTAAAATCAAATCCTAAGCACGGCTATAGATATTTTAAGCATGTTGACTACCAGTGCTTTTTTTCTAAAAAAAAAAAAAAAGGTGCCGGAACTCACGCACATCATACAACCCGCCTTGTCTACCCTACAAGGTTCCATCCAAAAAAGGTGCCAGAATTCCGTTCTGGGCGTTCTATGAGATAAAAAGCCCTGTTAACTACCAAATCAAAATCAATTGGTCTCAGGCCTGGAGCGCAACAAGGGTAACAATAATTCCATTTAATTTCACTGCATGCCCATAAAAATTGGGACGGGCCATATTATAACTGCAGCACGGGGGGGGGGGGGTTCTGGAGAATAGCTTGACTCCCTCTTCTTTGGGGCAGCCCCTGAGATATTGGAACACTGCTATCATATCACCCCTAGTTCTTCTTTTTATTAAACTACAGACATACCCAATTCCAGCAGCCGTTCCTTATATGTTTTCTGGAGCTGCCAAGGGCAGCCCAAGCGCGGAAAAGGAGCATTCCGGATTCTCACGGCTCAAGCAACCTGGGTTGCAGAGAGAGAGAGAGAGACACGCTTCGCTCCTCGATCAGCCCCGGCTGGGGTTGCACGAAACGGGCTCGCCAAGCCCGGGCCGGGCCGGGCCCTCCATATCTGGCCGTTTGCAAAGCCGCCCTTCCTCCCCACCTACCTGCGGGTCGCCCCTGCAAGGATCGAGGGCAGGTCGGGCGTCCGGATTCCCGGGGCAGAGAGGCGTCCGGCGACGCTTCCCGGGCTGGGGTCTCCTCCGGCCGCTCCCGTTTCTCGGCTCTGCCCTTCCCGGCGCGTCAGAAGAGGCGGTTTTTGCGCCGCCGCGGTGCGAGCAGCAGCCGGGGTGGGGGGGGGAGGCTGGGAAGAAGGTGCAAAAGCTGCTTCTGGATCGCGCTTGGGCCGCTGCTCTTGCTCGGGCCGCCCCAGGAAGCGCGTCGGAGGCTCCCCGCGCGGAGCAAGAGAAGAAGGGGTGGGGGGGACGCGACTGCCCACGCGAGGAATTGGCCGTGGATCTCTTCTTGGCCGCCCCTCGACGGAGGCCAAGCGGCTCCTGGACCCCTTGGGAGGAAAGGTGAGCGGCGCTTTCCCGTAAATCCGGAGAAGTGGTGTGTGTGTATGTGTGTAGGTGGGGAGGGTCACCTGGAAAGGCAGAGGAGAGGGGAGCGGCGCTTTCCCGTAAATCCAGGGAAGTGGAGGGGTGTGTGTGTGTGTGTGTGTGTGTGTGTGTGTGTGTGCAGGTGGGAAGGGGTCACTTGGAAAGGCAGAGGAGGGGAACGGCGTTTTCCCGTAAATCCAGGGAAATGTGTGTGTGTGTGTGTGTGTGTGTGTGTGTGTGTGTGTGTGTGTGTGTGTGTGTGTGTGTGTGTGTGTGTGTGTGTGTGTGTGTGTGTAGGTGGGGAAGAGTCACCTGGAAAGGCGGAGGGGAGGGGAGCGGCGCTTTCCCGTAAATCCGGGGAAGTGGGGGGGGTGTGTGTGTAAGTGGGGAGGGGTCACCTAGAAAGGCGGAGGCGCGACCCCGGACCTCCCCCCCCAATAATACGGACTCCCCCTGCCAGATGTGAGCTGCAAAACTGCGGGCGATTGGCGGAGCGCAGCCAAAAGATGGGCGTTATTCCCTCTCTTTGCTGCCCCCTCATGGTGGTCTGAGGTATGGCAGCCCTGAAGACGCGGTCGAGACGCGGTAGCTTTCGATTCCTCCGGATCGGGGCTGGACCCGGGGAGGGAGGGGGCGAGGGACCAGCGGGCAAAAGACGAAGCAGCGTCGCAGCAGCTGGAGCGGGAGGGCCTTTGAACCCCTAAGAATCCCTAAGATCACCCTCACCCACCCACACAGACAGGCAAGACACCAGAATGTAAACTGACAGCAAACAGCACTCCTTACTTTTTTGTTTGTTTGTTTTAAGCTGGTTAACTATTTTATTTTTTAAATGTTTTATTCATTTTTTAACACAATCCCCTTAATATTCGGTAAACAGTGTGTTGTCTGGGTTTACATTTAAGAAACATTCACTAAGGCTGATTTGTTTTTAAGAAGAAACTAGACAGCCGTTTGTCCGAAATGGTATAGGGTTTCCTGCCTGAGCAGGGATTGGACTAGATGACCTCCAAGGTCCCTTCCACCTTTATCATCATTATTATTATTATTAACCGTTGATTTCTATAATCGATAATCCACATAATAACTTTTACTTGATTTACTCGACTTTTAAGATTTGCGGACTTCAACTCCCAGAATTCCCCTGCTGGAGTGGAATGCCATAACGTAAGTGTTTCTCATGCTGGCTGGGGGATTCTGGGAGTTGAAGTCCACCCATCATCAAACTGGCAAAGTTGAGAGAGACTACAATACATGGTTGCATATGGTTGTGTGAAGGAGGTTCAGCCTGGGTTCTCGCCCTGGGCCATTACTCACCTCCTCTCTTCTATTCCTGCAGCTCAGCCATGGCCAGCTTCCCCTATTTAGACGAAGCAGAGTTGAGGAACCGCAAAGTTCAATATCTGGCCCAGAAATCCTTCGCAGCTGCCTCTCAAATCCAGGAAATGCTGGATTTTTTGAACTTCTTCAAGGTCCAGGTTGGGATCCTAGGAGAGCACCGTGCAGGGGTCAGCATGCTGGTTGAGGCTCTACTGAGCAAGTCTCGCCCGGTGACAAACCTTGCTGCTTACTTCCGGAAAGCCCCACAGCCCTCACTCTCTGCAGAGGTCCACGTTCATCCCACCTTCCCTCACCTCATCTTGCATGAACTACCTGGCTTTGAGGCCACCGAGACACCAGCTGCCTATCTGAAGAAGCTGGGTGACCTACAGCGCTTCAGCTGCTTCGTAATAGTGGTAGGAACCACGGGCTTAAGAGACGTTCATCTACAAGTCCTTAAGGCCATCAAGCAAAAGAAGAAACCTTTCTTTGTGGTTCACACCAAGATTGACCTGGATCTGCACACAGCTAGAAGGCGCCTTCAATACAGATACAATCCTGCAGAGCAGCTGGACCGGATCCGGAAGGAGTTGTCTGAGACTTTGGCCAAGGATGGATTGGAGGCCCAGAAGATTTTCCTGGTGTCTGGGCTGCAGGCTGAGAGATACGATTTCGCTTGCTTCGAAGACACGTTGGAAGGAGAAGTGCTCAACTTGAAAAGGTAAAGAGGTCAAGGGTTGGATCAGAACATTTTGACTTTTCCTCCAGGGCTGGAAAACGTGTCCAACTCTTGCATATCCATCGTTCTGCCCTTTTACGTTAGCCTGTTGAGCTAATGTCCTTTTTTTCTTAGTTGTTTTCTATATGGAAGTCAACTGAACATGCTAAAATAGAATATTATCAAAGAAAGTAGAAACAGTTCTTAAACAGTGGTTGCTAAGTGGGAAATCATGTGACCGTGACTGTTTTCTTTTTTCCTGGTCCCTTGCCTTTTGGAATGCTTATTCTGGTGCTGGGATAATTAGGGATTACAAGAGAGTAAGCAGACACACAGTGAGAAATACATATCGAAAGGAATGTAGTAGTGCCAGCAGCCCAAGCATACTCAGGACTGGAAGCCACAAGCGCGCTACACAATCATATTCTCCATTTTGCATTTGCTTTGTCTCTTATAATCCCTTTCTCTTCAAACTTCCTGCTCTGCAAGGGAGGGGGGGGGAAACAGGTCAAGCATAGAACAACACATACTTTTAAAGGCGATCACATGACTAAGGGGCACTGCAAAGGCATTGATCATAAAGTTATTTTTCACTACTATTGTAACTTCAAATTGTTGCTGTTTGAAACTGTCGAAAGCAAGGTCTATCTTTACATGGCAGTTTAAAACACTCCAGCAAAATCTTTCAGATTATTTATATTTATTTATTTATATTTCATATTTCTAAACCACCCCTCTCCCTCAAAGAGGGGCTCTGGGTGGTGTACAGTATAGCCAATAAAATGTATAAAAAATTAATGTTAAAATTAAAAATTAGGTTTAAAAAAAATTAAAATTATAGAATAAATGACAATTAAACATCAAAAGGGGAGAAAAATCCTATGATAGCATGGACGTTATTGGGCATGCCCAATGTAGTCTGAGAAAGTCAGTGTTGAGTTCTTGATGCATGCTGACTGTAACTTTATCTCTAATTGCAGCTAATGACTATAGCAGTGGTTCTCAACCTGTGGGTTGGGACCCCATTTGGGGTCGAACGACCATTTCACGGGGGGTCGCCAAACAAAGCAGTCCGCCATTTTTCCCCCCTTTTCCTTAGCTGTGCTACTCCCTTTTATTCTATTGGCTTTTGAAAGCCAATAGAATAGACTCTCTTGAACAGAGTCTAATGTCAATGCTGCAAATACTGTATATTCTTGCTTTGACAATATGCAAAACTGTCTGGCATTTATTGGGTTAATACTTAGCTTAGACTGGGCGGGGAAAAAGGGGGGGGGAAGAAAGAGGAAGCAAACTTTTGACCTTCTCACTAATTGGATAATATGACCTGTGACTGCATGAGAAGGGAGGGGTTTAGCAAGGAAAGCTTGATGCCAGCGAAAGGAAGTTCAGATTCTGGCATCAACCAGTCCATCATGGCGGGCGACCGGCAAAACTGTAGCTCTGCAAAAAGATTTTAGGAAACATGCCTGAAAGTTCTTTGAAGTGCTTCATTAGTCGGAACATGTGACATCTAATTCTATTGGCTTTCAAAAGCCAATAGGAATTGTCCGGGCTGTCTCTGCCCTGCTGAGCCTGCCGAAAGCCCCAGTCTGCAAACGGTGCTGCACCAGTTGAGTAGTCCTCGACTTACGACCGGTTGAGTAGTCCTCAACTTACGACCGGTTGGGGGTCACGGCATTAAAAAACGTTGAGAACCATTGGACTATAGGAAGACAATGTATATATTTACAGTATATTTCTGTTCTTTCTAGGCACCATGAGGGAAATCTGAAGAACTTCCCTGCAGTAAGTCAAAAGATGGTCAAGGAGCTACTTGAGATTTGCAAGTTCAGCACCTTGGCTGAAGTCCCAACCATGATCCAGGGTTTGCTGGCCAATCCCACTCAGATCCACCTGAACGTAGCTGTGATTGGAGAAGCAGGCTCGGGAAACTCCTCTCTAATCAACGCACTGAGAAGAGTAGGCTCTGAGGAGAAAGAGGCGGCCCCCACCGGAGTAGCAGAGACCACCTGGAGAGCCACAGTCTACCCATTCCCATTCGTCCCTAACATGTACCTTTGGGATCTACCCGGAGTGGGATTGATGGAGGATGACGTGAAGCGCCTGGATTTCAGCCGCTACAGCGTCTTCCTTCTGGTGGCCTCGGAGCGTTACAAGCACATCCACAGCTGCTTGGCCAAAATTATTGCTTCAGAAGGGAAACAGTCTTTCTTTGTGAGGAACAAGATAGATGTCGACGTGGAAGCCCAAGCTGGAAACCAACCCAACTTGAAGGAGAAACGTCAGGAACAGATCCGGAAGAGCTGCGTAGAAGCTCTGAAGAACGACGGCGTTGACTGTCCGGTTTTCTTGGTCTCTTCCTTCATGGCTGAAGCCTACGACCTCCCTCTCCTTCGGGAAGAACTCCAGAGACGGGCTTCCGAGTTGAAGAAGGAGGCCTTGAGGAGAGCGATCCCCACCGTCTTCTCCCAGCTGGTAAGGCTCAAGAGCAAAGTGCTGATGAGGGACGTGTGGGGGAAGACCTTGCAAGTTGGCCTCTCCTCTGTGGACAGTCTCAAGGAGACGGTGGTTGAGAAGCTCCTGGCCGTCATCACCAGCTTCTGCATCCACCTTGGTCTGGATGAAATATCTGTCAGGAACACAGCTGAGTGCACTGGCAAAGCAGCCCACCAGCTTCAAGCAGAGATCCAAAGCCGCTTTGCCCGGCCATTGCATCCCACCGACGTGCTCAACCTCATAGTTAAGCCTCCCTCATGGAGCATCTGGGCGTGGAGCTACGTGCCCTACTGGGGCCAAGGAGGTAAAGTGGAGGACCCGATCTCTGTGGAGAACATTTACAATCTGCTGCAACAAGCTGTAGTGGAACTGTCCAGTGATGCAGAGAGGCTGCTGCTGGCGGCCTTCTCGGAGGACTAGAGGTGGAGGGGAGATTGATGGGGAGGGGGGAGAGAAAATATATCTCATCGTAGGACAGGCTTCACATGGCTTGGCTTGTTCAGAAAAGCACGCCCTGTGCCTAAACCTCTGAATTCCCCAGATGTACACATGCTTAGCTGCTTTCTGTCCAGGAGAATTCTATTTTGTAGATTGAAATAGTCATTGTTTGCATTTGTTTGTCCTGGAAGTAGGTCATGTTACACAGTTACTAAAAAAACACTGGTGAGCGGTAGGGATTGTCTGCCATTTGCTGCACATAACGCAAACTGCAGTAAAAAATTCTACATGTACATCTAGCCGTGCCACAAGTTAAAGCAGTTGCCTGTTTGTAATTTGCTGCACGACAAATTAAAATTTATTGTGCAATCTTGTTTTGATGGTTCTTGTTTACAGTAAGCTACTCATTGGGTTTCTAAAATCTTCACCCTTGGTCAGGCCTAATTGTTTTGTGTTTTTTTTAATTGTTCCTCTTGATTTGTTTTGCCAGGCAACGCAGTCCAAATTCCCCTGGCTTTTACAAAATATTTGCCCAGCATACTTGCAGCAAATTGTATTCACAGTGATGCAAAAGCATTGTGGCTTTCTGTGACACTCAAACTACTGGGGGGGGGGGAAGACTCTCATTTGGATGACAAAATAAGTCTATTTGGTAATTGACAACTAATCCAGTACCTGGGACAGAAATTAATTCAACAACTTAACCTATCTTTCTCCAAATTAGATGGGAAGTCAAGACTACTATTACAGTGTTTCCCAAACTTGACAATTTTAAGGCATGTAGACTTCAACTCCCAGAATTCCACAGCCAGCGTTGCTGGCTGTGGAATTCTGGGAGTTGAAGTCCACATGGCTTAAAATTGTCAAGTTTGGGAAACACTGCACTATTAGAAAAGATGTACAAATAAAGGTTGTCCTCAAGTTATGATCATTCGCGTAACTGCTGTTTGAAGTTACGACCGCACTGGAAAAAGCGACTTACATATAAGATTATTGCAGTTCCCCAAGGTCACATGATCACAATCTGGGGACCTGGCCACCAGCTCACACTTGCGACAACTTCAGCATCCCAAATCACACGATTGCCATCTGCAACCTTGCTAGCTGGCTGCCAACAAGGAGTTATTCTTTTTGCTTTATTTTCTTCTTACTTTCTTTTATATTTCATGATACAATAAAATATCAAAGGAAAAATAAAGTGCCAGGAAGCATTAACCTCCAAAGAGACAGAAGTACATGTATAGATCACAATGCATTTGCAGAACGTGTAAATTGACACGCAGAAGGCCTTGACCCACAGCAACTTCAGCTTAAAAAAGATCTTTTGCTTAAAATTCTCTCCACCTTAAGTATCCAGAAAAAGAGCAGCCAGAAGAAATAGTCCTGCACGAGACCAAACTTGACAATCCTTGGGTTTACTTCATTCTGAGCCAATCTCACACATTTAAAATCTAGATTCACTAACACCGTTGCAAAAAACAATTTCAGGTTTGATCATTTTTAGGATCACAAAGACTATCTCACTATCTCAAGACAGACGCCACTTAAATGATTAAAAAGGTAGCAAAGAAATGTAAGTTTTGTAAGGATGCAGAGTGACGCTTCCAGGGTCCCTTCATTTTATAACATATGGTTACTTGCGCTGATGGGTTTCCTGAAAAGGTGTTCAGGGTTTGGGGGGGGGGTTTGGTTCACATTTCTGATTGTTCTCTACAGCGTGAATTTTTAACAATATTCTCACGAGTACAGAATTCAACAATACGTGTCTGTATCTCAGAAGGCTCACTCCAAGCCCTGGGTCTTCAATCTGTCGTACATACTTAAAAAATAATAATAATTAGTAATCTGCAGCAATGTTGCATCTTTAAAGACCCACAACTATATTGCTGGAACACTCAAGCTATGCACACAAGCAACCTTCTGCTTGGCAGAAAGTACTGCATTTTACTTAGCAGTAAGATACCGAGAATTCAGTAGACTGATATACCCTGTGACGAGGCTGTAACGTGATTTCAGTGTAACCTACATTAGACATAAACTTCCTGAAATAGCTAACAACTAGGAAGTAGTTATCCCTATCGAATGATGGCGCTGATATTTGCAGTTGGCACTCAAAGGAGCCGAGTTCAGCGTTGGCATCTTGTGCCTTTCAGAGTGATCATTCTTCTTTGCTCTTCAGAGCAGCACAAATCGGCTCCCTTTACATTTTCTTAAATAAAAATAAGGGGGTAGTCTTGATGACTGGGGGGGGGGGATGTTGTATAGACACCAGTTAGGATGTGAAGGCTGCTTGACGGAGAATTAGGTGGAAGTATCTCCAACTAAGAACACTGCCTTTTCTGTCCTTAGTTTAGGGAAGTTTTTCACCTTTAGCAACTTTTAAGGCGTTTGGATTTCAACTCCCAGAATTCCCCAGCCAGCTACAGATAGCCCTCAACTTACAACTGTTCATTTAATGATCATTTGCAGTTACAGCAGCATTGAAAAAAAAAATGACCGTTTTCCACACGTACGACCCATGGTCACATGATCAAAATTCGGATGCTTGGCTACTGACTCATATTTATGATGGGCTGCCATGTCCTGGGGTCATGTGATTCCCTTTGGTGAAGTAACAAGTAAAGTCAACGGGGAGGCCAACTTCACTTAGCCACCCTTCTACTGGCTTAACACCTGCAGTAATTCCCTGCACAACGGTGGCAAGGAAGCTCGTGAACTGGGGCAAAATTCACTTAACAAGTGTTTTGCTTAGCAAGAGAAATTTTGGGCTCAACTGTTGTAAGTCAAGGACTACCTATACCAGAGGTAGGCCACCTTGGCTCTTTTATGACTCGTGGACTTCAACTCCCAGAATTCCTGAGCCAGCATGGGGGAAACTTTGGCCCCTTCATGACTCGTGGACTTCAACTCCCAGAATTCCTGAGCCAGCATGGCTCAGCACGGAAGCCTCTCCCTTTCCCCTCAGCGTGGCTGGCTCAGGAATTCTGGGAGTTGAAGTCCACAAGTCATGAAGGGGCCAAAGTTTCCCTCATGGTGGCTCAGGAATTCTGGGAGTTGAAGTCCACGAGTCATAAAAGAGCCAAGGCTGCCTACCCCCTGACCTATACGCTGGCTGAGGAATTCTGAGAGCTGAAGTCCACCCAGCTTAAAAGCTGCTAAGGTTGAAAAACACGGAGCTAGGGAAATGTTTCTTTACAGATTGAGCTATCTTTCGAAAGGGAACATAAGTAGCCCTCCATTTCCCCCCCCCCCCCAAAAAGGGGGAATATGGCTCTCCATCCCAGGCAGCAACGTCCATTGCCTTCCATTCCCCACCCAGACTCAGGAAGCAGAGGGGTTGGTTAGTGCTACTGCTAGAGCTCCCCGCGAGCATGGCGGATATAGTGCTCGTGCAAGCCTGCCTCGTAGCTAAAACTCTCCCCACAGTCCATGCAGGAATAAGGCCAGGAGGGTAGCAACTCCTGTGTCTGCCGGTGGAACGCCTGGTGTTGACGCAGGCTGGAGATCTGACGGAAACTCTTGCCGCAATCCGAGCACTGATGAGGCGAGCTATGACCCGCCGCTTGTCCTTGGCAGTGATGCTTATAGTTGGCCAGCTGATCAAAACGGCGGCCGCAGTCCGGACAGCCAAAGATGGAGTGCAAGCAGTTGCTGTAATCAGAGGGTGAGGACGTGGCATGGCTTCGCTGATGGCAGATAAGTGCCCGGGAACTCTTGAAAGCCTTTTTACAAATGAAGCAGAGAAACAGGGCATCCCGCAAATTGGCCTGAACAAAGTCCTCCGGATGTTCTCGCTTCATATGCCGTTCCTTGAATTTCTCGTCAGGGAAGGTAATCAGGCAGTGAAAGCACTGATTAGCACCCAAGCCGTTGGCACCCAAGCTATCTAGAAATGGATAGGGAAGAGAGGCAGCAGTGAGTATCAAGTTATTTAGGTACATCTTTTAATCTACAGATTCCAAGACAAGCAATGGTATAACAGTATGGCAGTACCACAGCAAAGAAACGACTGAATAATCTACAGGTAGTCCTCAATTTACAGCTATTCTGGACCATATAGCTCTATGCACCATATAGCTCTATGTTGGAGTGTCCGGCAGTTATTGGGTTAAATGCTACGTATGTTGATGGGTCAGTGGGAGGAGTTCCAAAGGTCATTGGGAGACTCCCTGGACACAAGCCACATGGGAATCTCTTTGTCTGTAAGAAGCATGGGCCATGGAAGGTCACACAATGAGGCTGAGTCATTATAAAGATGGTATGAAGAGCAATATTTCTTACCTAAAGGGATGATCTAAAAGGTGGACAAAGATGTATTTCCAAGAGCACCAATCACAACGTGAACGCAAGTAATCTTTCTCATTAAAATATATTTTGTTTATTATAAGATCGTTTCTTTTGAGTTAACTGTCTGACTGGATTTAAAAGAAAGCACTTTAGATTTGAGTCAGAATAACAGCCATTCGTTTAGCAACCATTAAAAATTACAAGAAAAGTCTTATGACCGTCCTCACACTTGTGATTGTCACCTGATAAAAATTTAGGCGCGTGGCAACTAACATACATTTACAATGGTGGTAGCGTTCTTGGGTCATCGCCATTTGCGACCTTCCCAGCTAGCTTCTGACAAGCAAAGTCAGTGGAGGGGGGGGGAGAAGCCTGATTCGCTTAACAACCAGGTAATTCACTGAACGAATGCAGTGATTTGCTTCACTTGTAACTGTGGGTTTGTGTGCCTACAAGTCAGTGTTGATACCTTGCAACTGCCAGGAAAAGTCCCTGAAGTTTTCTTGGCAAAATTTCAGAAATGATTTGCCACTGCTTGCTTCTTAAGGCTGAGAGTCCACGGTCCATGGTTGCTCAGCTCACTTTGTGCCTGAGTCGAGATTAGAACTCATGGCCTTCCAGTTTCTAGTCTGATGTTTTAACCCACGGGTATCAAACTGCCGGCCCGCAGGCTGGATGCATCATGCTGAAACGGCACCCAGCCCAGCTCCGGCAATGGGGAAAAAGTCGCGATATGTCGTGACACATCATGTGATGTTGTGAGTTTGACACCCCTGTTTTAACCACTAAACCAAGGGGGCTGTGGACCAGTACCCATCATCAGCCTGTTAGGAACCAGGCCGCAGAAGCAAGCGAATCTGCATCTGCATGGGATCTAGATAACACATGAAATCATCCTCTTGTGTATCCCCCCTCCCCACGGAAAAAATTGTCTTTTCCAGAAACCAGTCCCTGCTGTGAAAAAGGTTGGGGACGACACCATCTCTCTTAATGTAACTATAACCTGCTAGAAATCCTCTGGCATCCAGGACCAGACTCAACACTCACAGATGCCAGCGTCCTCAGAGCATTCTTTGCCCTCTGCTGGCATTATTGCAATGTTTCCCTCTCGCCGGAGAGATCCTGGTTTATAGGCTGGCAGATGCTTCTGGGATGGGGATGCGCCACTGTTAAAGTTTGACACCTTTTCAAGAAAGGGCTCAGCCAATGTCAATTTGCCAACTGCAGAAAATTCAGCCATCGCTTCCTGTAACCAGCAAAATCAAATAGTGAGCAAAAAAACCCAAAACATCCAGACACATCTACACACCACAAATGGAGACTTTCTAAAGGCACGTGAGAGAAACAATCTGGAATTGAGGAGAAACTTCCTGACAGAAATCGTGGACGCTCCATCACTGGAGATTTTTAAGAGGAGACTGGACATTCCACCTGTCTGAGATGGTATGGGTCCTCCTGCTTGAGCAGGGGGCTGACTAGAAGACCTCCAAGGTTTTGTCTATTCTATTCTATTCATTCTATTCTTCTATTCTATTCTATTCTTCTATTCTACTATTCTATTCTATTTATTATATTCTTCTATTCTACTATTCTATTCTATTTATTATATTCTTCTATTCTACTATTCTATTATATTCTATTCATTCCATTTTTCTATCCTATCCTATTATTCTATTCTATTTATTCTATTATTCTATTCTATTCTACTATTCTATTCATTCTATTCTATTCTACTATTCTAGTCATCCTATTCTATTCTATTCTTCTATTATATTCTTCTATTCTATTCTATTCTATTCATTCTATTCTATTCTTCTATTCTATTCTATTCTATTCATTCTATTCTATTCATTCCATTCTTCTATCTTATCCTATTATTCTATTCTTATTCTATTCTATTCTATTCTTCTATTCTATTCTATTCTATTCTATTCACGTTGGGCGTCATCTCCCTCTGCCTCCAAGTTAATTACAGGACATTGTGCCAATTCTAGAGCCCCGAATATCCACATTTCCCATTTTTCCCCCCTGCATAATTCAGCTCCAGCCCCAGCACATCGTACCTCTTTTTCAATACTCTTTGGGTCAGTTTCCTCTTACAGCCAGCTTAAGAGGAATATTTAAGAGCCTTTTCTCCTTCTCGGGTCAACCAAGACAAGCAAGCTCAACGCAGGAGATCCAGAAGGAAGAATGTGGGGTGTGTTTCTCCCCCCCCCCGCCCACACACACACACACACACCCCATCACCAGTTTGTCGAAAGGAGGAAGATCCAGCTGGGCCTAAGCAAGAGACGGAGGAAGCGGCGGCCTGCGTTAGCTTTTGCGGAAGGGTCTGGAAGGCTTCTGCCCAGAGGACAGGGGCCAGGCAGGGGCCTGGGAGAGGGACGAGGGGCTCCCCCTCAGCTCATCCTCCCTTCTCGGCTTCCCGTTAAGAAAAGGCCTCGCCTCGAAAGAGGCTCTTCTGCCTTGCTGGGGAACCGGATCGAGGCCTCAAGCCCTGGACGAGCCCCTCTGCCGCCCCACGCCGAGGCCAGGTCGGAGCCTTCCATCGGGACCCCTTCCAGAAGACCTGCCCCAAATCCGTGCCGGCTCCTCGGTTACCCTAACCAGACCACCCCGTTCCACACTAGGCCTCGGTCCTTCTCCAGAAAGGCCCCCGCTTGCCGTGAAGCGAACCACTCCAAACGCCTGCACGAAATTCTGACTCTTATTTCCTCTGTGGGTGAAGGACTGCCGCGCGTTATTTTCATACAAATAAATAAGACATTTAGGGAAGTGCGGGAGCTTCCGGCGCTCAATCTTTAATCCAGATCTCATAAATTATTGTAACTTGTTTCAAGGCAATATTATAGACAGCCTCGCGGGAGAGGAGGCGAGGTCGAGCAACGGCGCACGCGCACCACAGAAAGCGTTCTACCAAGCGCCGTTAGACCTTATGAGTGAGACGCAGCTGGGCTCCAGAGTGCCGCTGGCTTGTGCCATCTGCGCATGCGCCTAGCAATGCGATATTCCCAGCCATTATGCACGAGGCGCGCAGGCGCCATCCGCTCTAGCCTGCTGGTCAGTTTTCCAGCAAAGCTCCTGCTTTTTAAATTGCACGTCATGCCACGTGTTGGAAAGAATATTCTCCCGTGGGAATTCTATCATTTCCTCTGCTAAGACAATTTTCCTGTACGGCTACAAATAGGAAATAAGAGTAAGAGTAATTTTGCAATTATTTATATTTCAGGAATATCTTGCGTCTGTTATATATTAGGAAGATTTGTTTTCATAGAATCAGCATCTGATGACGAAGGAACCGCGTAGGGGTTTTTAAAAAAAAAAAAAAAGTTCGGAAGCAGTAAAGATTCAATCCAATGAATTTATAAACATGGGACTGCATCAAATTGTTGCAGCAGTTTGTTCGTGGTGCATTTCAACTGAAATTCCCTCCAGGTGGAGCGTGGAATTACAGTGGCTGTTGCTTTTTGAAACGGTGGAAGCCTTAATAGGCACAGTACAACTTTCTCTCTGAACAGCTAAGTAATACCTTATTGTCGCACTAAACGCAATGGAATTTTCCAAAGTCAAAAGGCACAAAATTGCTTCCGTACCTATATATGCGTATTTATGTAGTTATGGGAGATTCGGTGAATACACATCTATTTGGTAGAAACTAGATTTAGGGATTGGGTTTGGTATATTTGGACAAAAATAGCAATAGTACTTAAGATTCATATAGTGCTTGACAGCACTTTCTGAGCAGTTTACAACGGGATATTGCCCCCGCCAATCTGGATCCTCATTTTACTGACCTCAGAAGGGTGGAAGGCTGAGTCAACCTTGAGCCCCATCAGGATCGAATTCCAGGCAGTGGGCAGTTAGCCTGCAATACCGCATTTTAACTATTGTGCCATGTAATTTTCTTAACATTTTCAATGTTTGAGTATTTAAAAAATAGAAAATGAAATGCCAACAGTGAGTTGCATCAAGGATTAGATAATGTGGGTATAAAATCCCTCTACTATAGGTACACGTGCATAAGGTATTAATTCGCCTCCTAAACCTCACCTAACAATTGTATCAGAGACTGGTAGCATCCAAAGTGCTGATCAGCAAATCAAACAACGTAAACTCTTGTCCACTCATGATTTGCATTTTTCATGTTCACCCAAGTACACAATTTCAGGAGCAAATAAATGCCCAAAGCGAGTGCCAATGCTATTTCATGGTTTAGATCAGGGGTAAGCAACCTTGGCTGGTTCAGAAATTCTGGGATTGAAGTCCACAAGTCATAAAAGAGCCAAGGTTGCCTATCCCTGGTTTAGATCCTCAATAAGCACTTTAAACTATGAACAGCAAATGAGGATAGTAGCTGGATTCAGTCCCTGAATTGACAGGCTTTTAACCATGGTTTCCTCACAACCACTATAGTGGCATGATTTGTGCTGAACTCAAACGTGTGAACCACGCATTTGATGTCCTCTTTCAGTTGTTCCTCAATTTCTATACAGCTAAATTCTCCACCTATGACTGCAATGGAGCCTGACCATTACAATCGTAGCTTGTATGGTTATAACATGGGTCATGTGACCAACCTCATTACATCACCTATTTTGTGGTGTTTAAGCCACTTGTCAACGCTGCAAATATTGTATATTCTTGCTATGATTTAGAAGTAACCACTGCAACCAGAAAGTAAATCAGCTGTTCACTATGGGTTGGCCAATGCCACTTTTCAGCAAAAACGTTGTAAAATGTGGTCAGGTGACCACAGAACTCTGCAAACAGCCATAAATGTAGGCTAGTTGCAGAGGGCCTGAAATATGATCATGTGGCCTGGGGAGTCAATAGAACTTTAGAATAGGATTGTCATCTCTGGGGAGATCTATTGTAACTTCCACCGGTTGCTAAGCGACTGGTTGAGGGCTACCTGTAATATGCCTGGCAAATAACCCTAAGGTCTGCTTCTTCGGTGATGGCAGACTGAATGGTTGCTATCCTAAAATCTCACAAGGATATAAGAGATCCTGGGTTTGTAAAGAATGACTGTGCACCATTAAACTCTGATCAGGCAGCTTCATTTGCAGAGACAGTCATTGCCTTTCAGACCAGAGCTGGCTTCGTTTTAAGAGAAATCCTGGCGAAGAGCTGCACAAAATCAGCACCCCCGTTTCTCCCATTTGCAGACAGAGATGGGCACAATAAAAAGTCGTATACATACAGAATTGTTTTTATTAAACCATATCTCCTAACTACTGTGAAGAGATACTGTTGAAATTCATGAGTTAGGTGGATCAGGCGCCATGCCCAGGAGCTGTTTTGTTAAAAGCCAAACACGCACACGCACACACGCACACACACACACACAAACAGAATACAGCTTCAGTTCAGCATGGACCACCCAGATGCCAACATGACGACAATGGAAACGGGACCCTGCCTGAGAAGGAACCGTCTTGAAAAGCAGGATCTTCCACACGGGACAAGCGATCCCAATCCATCCCTTACTATCTTCCCCCCTCCCTCCCCATTTGGGATGGGTCTGGCAGAAGACAATTCTGCTTGCATTAATGAAAACGGATCCACAGAGCACAATTCTGCTAGTGCCACTGTTACAAAAGTTCATGAACAAGATTCTCCTTTGGGGGTTAGAATATTTTAGGGACCGTCGGATCCAGATCACTGGATCTGGGCAGGGACAAGGGAAAACTTCACTTCCTGCAGATGGGCTGAGGTTTTTTGTTTTTTAAGTCACTACACTCACCGCCAGGGAGGCAGGATACAAAAGCTCACGTCTCTCCTCGCTCCAAAGCTAAATTCATTTCAGAAATATAGAAATGTCTTTTTTTTTTTCCCCCTTAAAGGAACGAACAGCAAAGGAGGTTTCTGCTTTTCCGTATCCTAGCAGGATAGATCCCTTAGCAGGGGCCACCTATCACAACAAGGGAAAATGGAAGTGAGCTGGGGGAAAGGGTCGAAAAAAGGACCTACAGCTCTCCGCGAGCATGGAGCATGTAGTGCTCGTGAAGTTCGGATACCAAGCCAAATTCGCCTGGGCACTCGGTGCAGTGGTACGGTCCATCAGCCCCATCTGTGTCCTGATCCCCATTAGCCTCTCTGGGAGCAGGAGAAGAAGGAGTAAGCTTATTACGAGAAGGGGCGGGAGGGCTCCTGTGCCAGCTGTGTTCACAGCGATGGCCCTCCAGCGTGGCAGGCGAGGTAAAGCCCACGCCACACTCAGCACAGATGTAGTGAAAAGCTCTGCCCCGGCCGGAGGTCAGGGCCATTCGCCCGTCCTGGCTGTCAGGATTCCCCGACAAGATCAGTGGGGGTGGCTTGGCTGAAGAGGAACCACTGTGTGGCCTTTTGCGCCCCACGTGGTAGCTACGGTGCACCTTCAGGGCCCGAGAGGTGCCAAAGCCACGCCCACACTCAGGGCACTCGTGCCACTCGGGGCTCGGCGCCTGGGAGGAGCTGAGGCGGTCCTGCCCTCCCTCTCCGCCATCATCCACCTGTTCCCCAGCCGTTGATTTTTTGGGTTCTTTGCTCTGGGGACCTAGCAAAACAAAGGGAGAGAAAACACAGTGAGGTATGCACGTAGAAAGCACCTTGGCTTGTCCCCCACTCTAGAGCAATGGTTCTCAACCTGTGGGGTCCGGACCCCTATTTGGGGTCGAACGACCATTTCACGGGGGTCGCCAAACAACGCAGTCCGCCATTTTTCCCCCCTTTTCCTTAGCTGTGCTACTCCCTTTTATTCTATTGGCTTTTGAAAGCCAATAGAATAGACTCTCTTGAATAGAGTCTAATTCTATTGGCTTTCAAAAGCCCATAGGAATTGTCCAGGCTGTCTCTGCCCTGCTGAGCCCGCCAAAAGTCCCATTCTGCAAACGGTGCTGCACCAGTTGAGTAGTCCTCGACTTACGACCGGTTGAGTAGTCCTCAACTTACGACCGGTTGAGTAGTCCTCGACTTACGACCGGTTGGGGGTCGCGGCATTAAAAAGGTTGAGAACCACTGCTCTAGAGCTTTAACATGGCAAGCGTTTGTCTACGGAGATTCTCAGTCGTCCAGGACATAGTTGTCCCAAAAGTGCTTTCCCAAAAGACAATCAGGACCTTCTTGATTTTTTTTCCCCCTTGAAAACGTTTCGCTTCTCATCCAAAAAGCTTCTTCAGTTTTGTTCTGCTTTTGGAAAAAGCACCTTTGAGACATTCCTCCTTTGCCAGCGCCATGGAGAATTGGCTAAATCAAATTTTACGTAACTCGTGGAATCATAAAGGAATGTGAGGAAAGCAACTTGCAGAAAAAATACCTTAAATTAAGAAGGTGGAAGAGCTACAGCTGTTCAGTGGTGCTGGAAATAATACCCTTCATATCCCCTAAAGCAGGGGTTCTCAACCTTGGCAACTTTTAAGATTGAGGAATTCTGGGAGTTGAAGTCCACAAGTCTTAAAAGTTGCCAAGGTTGAGAACCCCTGCCCTAAAGTAATACTTTGATTGCTTTTTTTTAGAGATTACCATCCCAAGCACAATAAATTTAATAGCTGAGCCTGTGCCCAGCATCAAACCCAAATATCTCCTCTACTGCCCTACCTATTATCTGACAGGTCCCGAATATTCCTGTTATATATGCCTATTATACCTGGATAGCCATTGGCAGATGGGGTTGCGGGACTACTGTCACCGGAAGATACTGAGGTTGCTTCTGATTCGTCCTCCTCCTGCATGGCCAATATACCTGGAACAATTAAAACCCTCCATGAGTTCTGCTATTAACTGTTCTCTACCCTACTCTTAAATCATGAACATTTATATGCTTAAGTCAGGGGTCTTCCAACGTGGCTCTTTTATAACCTGTGGACTTCAACTCCCAGAATTTCTAAGCCAGGCACACATGCCTAAGCCAGTCCACAAGTCATAAAAGGGCCAAGTTTGAAGACCCCCGACTTAAGTAATGAATCAAGAAGCAGTTTTTGATCACCGAGCCTCAAAGGCAGACCAAGAGTATCATATACTACAAGTTTCTCAATGGTCCCAAATAATGGCTATCCTATGTAGATAACCCTAGAGATAGTTGCTATCCAGAGCAAAATACCACAGATACGTTTTCTTCAACCGCTGGTAGTCCTTGACTTACAGCAGTTCATTTAGTGACCATTCAGAGTTACAAATGACTGATGACCATTTTTCACACTTACGACCATCGCAGCACCCCCACAGTCATGTGATTAAAATTCAGGCGCTTGGCAGCTGATTGATATTTAGGACGGTTGCAACAGCAGTGTTACTAACTTAACTACTGTAGTGATTCACTTAACAGCTGTGGCAAGAAAGGTCATTGGAATATAGAATAGAATAGAATAGAATAGAATAGAATAGAATAGAATAATGGAATGAAGTAGAAGAATAGAATAGAATAGAATAGAGGAATGAAGTAGAAGAATAGAATAGAACAGAACAGAATAGAATAATAAACTGGACTGGACTGGACTAGAGAATAGAATAGAATATATAGAATAAATAGAATAGAATAAACTGGACTGGACTGGACTGGACTAGAGAACAGAATAGAACACAATACTTTATGGTCACTTTAAATGTACACTAATCAGCCTACATTAAAATGAGATTTCATTGCATATAGCTCTCAAAGGTGAGCACTAAAATATACACTGCACAAACATGACAAAAAAATAAGTTATGCATACACACACACACACACACACACAAACCTATTTGTCACAACAGGGCAACCTGACAGCAAACGGCTGCTTGTCATTTCGGGCCCCGTGGATGCTTTGCCAGCCTCTCCAGGGCTGCTCGCTCTGAGCTCTCGTTGCCCAATGCCACCCTCTAGTGCTCTGGTGCAACACGTGCAATTAACGGGAAAGTTAACGGTCCCTCCCAGAGGCTGCCTGCCTGCCTGTCTTTGGGCTGGACTAATTTCAGATCCCAAGAAAAGGGGCGATCCCGACGTTGCAGAGCCCCAGAGCCGTGGTTTTTGAGGTGGCCTCTGGCCTTGGTTCCCCCGACGCTCTTTCCCAGGAGCATCGGGGGGGGGGGCTTTTCGACCTCGGGGAGCTCGCGAGAGCCCCCAGCCCCAGCTCCGCAGGGCCGGGGAAGCCTGGCCCCCGCCTGGCCTGTGCTCACCGGTCGAGGTCCCATCCTCCTCCTCAAAGCCAATGTCCTCGGAGCTCCCCACTTCCACCTGCTTGGCTCCTTCGGACATCACCCCTCAAGGCCGGCGGCCCGACCTGCAAGAGGAGCAGAACCGGGACACGAGAGAGAGAGATGGCGGGGAGCCCGCACGCGCCCCCCCCCCATTTTTCCCCCCGGGCCCCCCATCCCATAATAAGCCCAGGGCTGCCCACCGCCCCCGCCAGCCAAGCCAAGCCGGCCCCTGCGCCCATCATGCTCTGCGACCAGCGGACCGCGGCGGAGCCTACGGTCCCATCATGCACCGCGGCTGGGGAAGAAGAAGAAGAAAAAAAAAAAAGGACCCGCGAGCCAAGAGTAAAGGAGAAGCTGGGGGGAGGGAAACTACCCCTTTCCCATAATGCCTTGCACCTTCTACCACTCACCGGTTCCTCCGGATTTGGGGAGGGGCAGCCCGGTCCCCTCCGGCCACAGGATCCTAGCTGCGCAAGCGCAGAGAAAGAGAAGGGGGGGCAAATAGGCAGGAGCCGCCCACCAGCCCTCGGGCCTCGCGCGTGCGCCGCGAGGCTCGGGCTCTCCGTCCGCACTGCGCATGGGCGGGCCGCGAGCCGCTCTCTAAACGGGCGACTAGAGGTTTTTTTTCTCTCCCCCCCCCTCCAGTGGGTATGGCGTTTCATTCGTTCCGCGCATGCGCCCACCAGAATCTCCTGGAAGTTGGGGGTGGGGGGTTGCGAAGTTGTCCAGAGAGAGAAAAGCGATTAAAATGAGTCGTGATAAAATGTAGTTTTAAATAGGCGTGTTTATTCGGAAATGAGTGCAGCTGGGTTTTGTGAAATAGGCCCCGGATTGCCAATTAACTTTCTTCTCTCGCCTCTTCTCTCTGTTCTCTCCCTCTCTCTTCTCTCACCTCTTCTCTCTCTTTTCTTTTTTCTCTCTTCTCTATCTCCTCTCTCTCGCTTCTCTTCTCTCTCTCTTCTCTCTCTGTGTTCTCTCTCTCTCTCCTCTCTTTGCTCTTTTCTCTCTCTTATCTCTCTCTTCTCTCTCTCCCCCCCCCCCATTGCAGAATGAAAATATAAGCCAGGATCAAGAATCAAACTTCCCCAGTCTGGCGGCCCAGGATAGGCTGCTGCTGCTACTATTATTCCCTTTCTGAGGATTGCAGCCTAAACTGTCTTGATCCTGCTCGGGCTAAACCTGACCTGGCTGAGGATTCTGGGAAATGAAGTCCCAGGAAGCCTGATTGGGAAAGACTATGCACTTTTAATACTGCTTCCCAGAATTTGGTGGACTTCACCTCCCACAGCTTTTAGTGGAAATTCTGGGAGTAAGAAGAGAAGAGAAGAAAAGAGAAGAGAATAATAGAATAACAGAACCTTGGAGGTCTTCTAGCCCAGCCCCCTATTCGAGCAGGAGAACCTATCCCGTTTCAGACAAGTGACTGTCTAGTCCAGGGGTAGACAACCTCGGCTCTTTTATGACTCATGGACTTCAACTCCCAGAATTCCTGAGCCAGCTATGCTGGCTCAGGAATTCTGGGAGTTGAAGTCCATGAGTCATAAAAGAGCCGAGGTTGCCTACCCCTGGTCTAGTCTCTTCTTAAAAACTTGCAGTGATGGAGCGCCCACAATTTCTGGAGGCAAGCTGTTCCACTGGTTAATTGTCCTCACCATTAGGAAGTTTCTCCTTAATTCCAGGTTGCTTCTCTCTTTGATCAGTTTCCAACCATTATTTCTTGTCTCACCCTCTGGTGCTTTGGAGAATAGTTTGACGCTCTCTTCTTTGTGGCAGCCCCTCAAATACTGAAATTGTGGCACTAGCACTCCTGGAAAGAGAGAAAAGGGCAGTTGGAACAGAAATTGCCGCGTGGTTGCCTTCCCATCGGCTGGCGTGATTTTTATCAGCCTCCATTGCTAAACCTCCTGCGCTTTGGAGTCAAGCTATTCTCCAAAGGGCCTGAAGGCAGGATAAGAAGCAACAGAAACTAATCAAGGAGAGAAGCAACCTAGAACTAAGGCAAGACTTCCTGACAGTGAGAACAATTAACCAGTGGAACAACCTGCCTCCAGAAGCGGTGAATGCTCCAACTCTGGAAGTTTTTAAGAAGAGACTGGACAGCCATTTGTCCGAAATGGTATAGGGTTTCCTGCCTGAGCAGGGGGTTGGACTAGATGACCTCCAAGGTCCCTTCCAACTTTACTACTACTACTACTACTACTACTACTACTATTTCCAAAAAGGCCTTAAAATAGGAGCAATTTTGGAGAAGTTCCCCCTTGAACTTTGCAATCGGGCAACTGCATTCGCGAGACGGTCCTGCAGCACGGAAAAACCTCGGGAAGAGTTTTCCATCAGGGACGCTAGAGGGCGCTCGGACATCGAGACCGCCGGAGGAGGAGGAAGAGGAGGAGGAGGCCTGCCAGCAGAGGGCGCCCTCGAAAGGGAAAAGGAGCGGTCACCCCTTAAAGCAGGGGTCTCCAAGCTTAGCAACTTTAGGACTTGTGGACTTCAACTCCCAGAATTCCCCAGCCAGCTCCTCTGACATCGGTGGCTTATTTGCAGAGCTTCAGTTATTTGCTTGCAGGGGTTACTCAACTATTATTAATAAATCATAAATATTTTATTAAATAATTTATGGTTGGATTAAATAACAGATTTCTAAGAAATAAAAATAATGGCTTTTTATAATGGCTTAAGTAAGCGGTGGCGAACCTATGGCACGGGCGCCAGAGGCGGCACTCAGAGCCCTCCCTGTGGGCATGCGCGCCGTCGCCCCTATCCTAGGCCTTCAGCTGGGTTTTATAAACCCTTTTCGCTTTAGGCCTCCATCACCGTGTGCAAAATAAAAAAAAAGTTCAATCAATTTCAGTTTCTCGCGGGAAAAAAAAAGATCTTGCAAAGTTGGAATTGATTGATTGAACTTTTTAGTCACACCCAGATTGCTGTTACCACCGTAGCCACACCCACCCAATTGGCCACACCCAGCCAATGGGCCACACCCACCCGGCACCCGATGATGCATAAGTGGGTTTTGGGTTGCAGTTTGGGCACTCGGTCTCTAAAAGGTTTGCCATCACTGGCTTAAGTCAAGGAAGCCAACATATCAAATATGCCTATTTTCCCACTACCACAATTGTTTTCATGCCTTAGCAGGACTAGAACTCACAGTCTCTTGGTTATTGGTCTAATAATCAGGCTGGCTTTTGTCCTAAGGCGGGACTAGAAGTCACTGTCTCCTGGTGATTGGCCCAATAATCCAATCAGCTTTTGTCCTAAGGCAGGACTAGAACTCACAGTCTCCTGGTGATTGGTGCAATAATCAGGCCGGCTTTTGTCCTAAGGCAGGACTAGAACTCACAGTCTCCTGGTGATTGGCCCAATAATCCAACCAGATTTAGTCCTAAGGCGGGACTAGAACTCACAGTCTCTTGGTGATTGGTGCAATAATCAGGCCGGCTTTTGTCCTAAGGCGGGGCTAGAACTCACAGTCTCCTGGTGATTGGCCCAATAATCCAGCCAGCTTTCATGCCTAAAGCGGACTAGAAATCATATTCTCTCACTTTCTAGCCTGGTGCTTTAACCACTAGACTCCCTCTTCACAAACACACTGTAGTGGTTTGTGTAATAACACCTGAGGGTTTGAAAATGCCTCGGAAAGGGGCTACACTCTAGACATCTACAAGCCGTTGGGTAGAACTATCCCACTGTACTCAGGGATGTATCTCAAAATTAGCGTGGCGAGCTTTCACTGATTAGTCAGTTAAAAACATCAAACAATTAACCTTTGAGTTAATCAAAATGACATCCCTAATTAATGAGGTAGCATTTTTAATTTTGTAAGCTTTGAAGACAAGCCCTTCAAAGAACTGCCATCAAAAAATTCAGGCCTTAAATTTGCTTCCAGGGCATAGAAGAAACTTGCTAAAATGCTAACATCTCCTTCTCTACCCAGAACAGATGTTTTACATACAGATTTGAGGAAATGTAATAATGATGGTGATAAATAAATAGGATTATTTGTTTACTTGAGGGGTCGTTGGTGCCCCCTGACCTTGGTTATCTTCTTACCGATGTCTGCAAGTCAACAACTGAGAACCACTCTTTTCAACAAATATTCTCCTTTCTCGGTATTTGTTTATTTACTTATTCGATTTTTATTCCACCTTTAACACTTTCATAAGTACTCGAGGTAGCAGAGATACACCACACTCAAGCCTCCTCCTATTTTCCCCACAACAACAACCCTGGGCTGGCCCAAAGTCACCCATGGCTTTCATGCCTAAGGCGGGACTAGAACTCACAGTCCCTAGTGATTGGCCCAGCCGGATTTCATTAAAGAAAGTTGTACGTTGATCTCAGTGGTGGGATTCAAATAGCTGGGCAACCAGTTCTCTGTGTGGATGCCCCTTCCGGAAGTCCATTCTGGGCCTGGGCAAGAAAAAATTAGGTACCAGTTGTGCTGAACTGGTGCGAACTGGCTGAATCCTACCACAGGAAACAAGGAAGGAAGGAAGGAAGGAAGGAAGGAAGGAAGGAAGGAAGGAAGGAAGGAAGGAAGGAAGGAGTGGTGGGATTCAAATATGTCAACAACCGGTTTTCTGTGTGGATGCCGCTTCCGGAAGTCCATTCTGGGCCTGGGCAAGAAAAAATTAGCTACCGGTTCTGCCGAACTGGTGCGAACTGGCTGAATCCTACCACAGGAAGGAAGGAAGGAAGGAAGGAAGGAAGGAAGGAAGGAAGGAAGGAAGGAAGGAAGGAAGGAAGGAAGGAAGGAAAGAAGGAAAGAAGGAAGGAAGGATTCAAATATGTCAACATCCAGGTCTCTGTGTGGATGTTGCTTCTGGAAGTCCGTTCTGGGCCTGGGCAACAAAAAATTAGCTACTGGTTCTGCCGAAGTGGTGCAAACCGGCTGAATCCCACCACTGGTTTATCTCCAATTTCCTGGGAGCAAATTCCACCGAGTCACACCCCTGCCTAAAATTGCCCTGTAAGCTTTCTCTAACTTTGATTCTCGGAATCCCAGAAAAGCCTCAGGGAAGGCAGGCAGGAGGGCTTCCAGCTGCCTTTTCAAAAAGGATTTCAACAGCAAGAAGAAGGTTTCGGAATAAACATGATGTCATCTTCCCCTAGCTAGCATGGAGCTTTGCTAATCAGATTCATTTTGTTTCTTCATTCATGCAGAGAAATGGAATTTAATCCGCCAACACACGCCTGGCGCTCCGGTAGCGTTATCTTCCGTGTGTCATATTCCTCCACAGAGTTCGCATAACCCTCTCGCTTTAAAAGAATCCATGGAAAGAACGGTGATTCCTTAGGAGCTGTTGGAAAGTGGGAGAAATCTGGTACAGGCCAGATTTCATTTAGTGACCATTCAGAGTTACAACGCCACTAAAAAGAGCGACTTAGGACCTTTTTTCGCATTTACAACGGTTGCAGCATCCTCGTGATCACACGATCAACGTTCAGATGTTTGGCAACCAACTCATATTTATGACGGTTGCCGTATCCTGGGATCCTTTGCGACCTTGTGCAAGCAAAGTGAATGGGGAGGCCAGAGTTATCTAACAACGGTATTAC